CGTTTCCACGATCGGAGTGCGGGTGGGCACACGTCATTCAATCTCCTCTTGGTATTCTTGAACTCCTTCCAACCACAAGAGAGCCAAAGAAAAAATCGTTCTTGAGAATTAAATAATTTTTCCTCTCAGGAATCTTTTACTAATAGCCTTAAAAAAATATCTCAAGTGATCTAATGAATAATGTGACTTAATAGGCTATTTATAGTGTTTAGGAAGTCATATTTCCATAACAATTAGGTTTCTCAAAGTTTATCTCGCTTACAGAATTAGTTTCGCCTTGTCAGCATGTGCTACACGTTGCAACCGGTCGACCGGTGACAGAGACGTTATAACTCACCGGTTGACCTATCCTTCATGAACTGGTCAACCGGACCGGTGAGCTGTCTGAACTAGCGAAACTTATTTTCCTAGTTTTCCAATGCCTCAATTTTGATTCAAGCAACCCAATAGAGAAGTTGCCTGATCAAAATAGTCATATAATAGTCTTCCCATATTAAACAACTCTTAAAATAATAATTCAACCAATTTATCTAGAATAAATTTATCAATTAATTCACCCGATAAATCACTCATGAATTAATTAACCAATCTCATATTAACTTTGAACCTCTTTTAGGGAAATAACCCAAGTTATCAATATGTAGGAAATACATCGTATCATTACAAGAAATTATGTGAGCTAGCAAAGGGACCCGATGGACATATATAAATCAAGCTCCTATAATCACAGCGCTACTTGTAAACCAACAAGTCCGTCTCATGATTATAAAAATCTAACGTTATTCCACTAAAAGCCTAGAGCTGCACTCTCGATTTATATAGCGAATTTACAAAGCTCTGAATAGCTCTTGTCCATGACTCAATATATTAGTGTATATCCCCATAGGATATCCATAATCGACTTGAGGTCAAGTTCCGTTTTACCTTCCTGATTACATTTGTCTTATGTTCCATTACCACACCATCGGAAAACCACTATTAGTATCATTACAAATAGTAACCCATTAGATAACAAAAAGTAGTCTAATGGCCGAGTGCTCATATTTTTCAATCCACAGATAATGCATAAAAGGATATCATTGACTCTTTGTAGGAGCTATGGATGCCATTATATATGAATAACGAATCTATGCATACATGAGTCATACCCCCAATGTACTAGTAAGCGTACCATTATATAATGTCAGGATGTTCTTTTGGAACATCAAAAGATACAAGTCAAGCATGCGAGTTCATTATCCATCTCAGGATTAAGATGACAACATATAATTCGTCAAAGTGAATTATTTTATTCAAACGGAATTATTAATTAAATCAGTTCAACTTTGGTCCGACCCAATATTGATTTTACCATTAGAAACTATATCAATGTCTCTACCCATGGAGTCCCACTTGCGACGACCAAGACAAGCCGTCTCCGTTAGGAAGTAGACAATATAACAATCTTAATATGAATAAAATGCCCAACTTTATTCCATCGATTGTGGATCATATGATTTAGACTATCATCTTTAGATTCCTGTCTTCCGCATGTTCTTCTCATTACATGCATGACCTAAAGATTTAGAATGATAGTTTCAGACTTTCAGTTTGCTTCTCATACATTCAACTAATATGAACATAACGAGGACAATACATAGATATATGAACATAACGAGGACAACACATAGAATATGAAATAAATAAATCTTTATTAATAGTCAAATTGTCTAAAAAAATATCGTTATATTTATTCCTAAGTTACATATATCCATAACACATTCGACTGATTATGCCCAAGTTAAAATATTGAAGAACATATTAGCTAGTCTAAAAACTAAGAAACTTAATCCTATCGAAAGCAATCTATTAAAAGGACTTAGATCATTACTTGATAGAACTATAATCTTTAAAAAAAGGCAAAATGCAGTGAATAGCATATTTTTAACTCCTAATTGAAGTAAATAGCATATCTTTTTAGTTAAATTATAGCATATCTCTGTTATTCATCTTAAAATAAATTATTGATTTCCAATCTTATCCCTTTTCTTGTTTTGTTTTTTTATCTTTTTCTCTCAATTTCTTCTAACTCTCTCTCTCTACCGTGATTCTCTCTCTATAGCCTCTCACCCCTCTCCAGACTCCCATTCTCTCTCTATCTCTCTCACCTACTGACCAAGCTCTTCCGGCTCTTTCGAGTCTCGTCGTTGTTCATCCTTTGATCTGGAACAACAATGATCTCAGAAAACTCATGTCAGTCGAATGTTCGGATAAATATGATATTTACTCGTAAATACATAATTTACAAATAAATATGGTATTTATTAGTAAATACAGTGTTAAACGGTTGCCGAAATTGATGCCTAAATTTTTAGATAAATATGATATTTGCAAGTAAAGATGATATTTATTGGTAAGTACAATGTTAAACGGTCACCGAAGTCGGTGGTCAGCTTTTTTTGGTAAATATGATATTTATTAGTAAATACGGTATTTATTAGTAAACACGATATTTACCTATAAATACAGCATTGAACAGTTGCCTGAGTCGGTGGTCGGCTTTCCGGGTAAATATAGTATTTACTAGTAAATACGGTATTAAATGATAAATATATTATTTACCAGTGAATACAGTCTTAAAGGGTTGCCGGAAAACAGTCACCGAAAAACGGTCACTGATTGCCAGAAAACGGTCACAGGTTGCCGAAAAATGGTCTCTAGTCACTAGAGCCGGCCGCCAGTCCCGACCATGGTGGGCTTGACTATAATATACCTATTTTAAATAATATGCTATAATTTACTGTTTTTTAAAAAATGGATGTTTAGGGAGGAGGAGTGAGGTGGAAAAGGAGGTTTAGGGATATTTTGAGGTTTTGAATAATGTTTAAAACTTAAAATATCAAATTATACTATAATTAACTATTTTTAAAAAATATGTTATAATTTAGTAATCACTTTACCTTATTTCCCTCCTTATTCCTTAAAAGAATAATAAATAAAGAGAAGGAAACAATGAACATCAAGAAAAGCTTAAACATCTCAACTACGTTGGCACCAAGCTAATAGCTAGCACACTTTTCCCATACAAAATACCTCACTAAAATTTAGTAAATTAAAAAGAAAGAAAAATTAAATAAAAGTTCAGGAAGGAAAAGACCGGTACAACTAAAGGGAAAAAAAAGAAAAAAGAAAAACAATTAGATCCAACCGCTACTTGTGAAAACCGACGTCAAAATTAGCTGAAGCTCCACCTTTGAAGATCATTTCCTAAAATAGATCTCATGCCTATGCTAGAATATAATAATAATAATAATAATCTACATTCCTTGAAACCTAATTCAGTTTGATTTGGGGAATAAAGTCCTACTTTTGGTACATCTATACAATTTTTCTTCGGTTTTTCTTTATAACGCATACCAACTATTATTTATTTATTTTTTTTGGTAATTCTGATTTCAATAACACTACAATATACATGTCCTATGTATGTGCAACTAGATTGTTATATATTCATCGAGACATACTACCACATAATATGTACACGATATATGTATGAATTCACGTCTCAGACTATAAAGTGTGTGTGTGTGTGTGTATTATTTAGAACAACAAACCATTTAGAAAAATTGTTGTTTAATGAAGTGAGTATACTATATTAATTATTAGCCAAGATATTTATATAGCAAAGTTAGTAATTAAGATATTATATATCCCCACCCATTGTATAACCTAGTAGTATACACTATACATACATACAAACACATGTGTGTGTGTACACGTGTGTTTATATATATATATATATATATATATATTTATATGCATGCATACACATATAAATATAACATGAAGTTAGATGCAGAATTTTTGAGTTCAAATTGAGTGGTATGACATCTTTCAAAAACCTTTATCAAGTTGTGGGGGGGAAATAAAACTGATTGACACGATAGTTTTTATCCCATAAATGAAATCCTTGAAAGATATACATAACTAAAAGAGAGATGTATGCAGTCTCTATTATCAACAAAGCTTAGCCTAATATATATTAGAGAAACACTGGGTCAGTGCCCTATATTACATGATTAAGTTAAAATTGAAATTTTTTTTAGTTATAAGTCTAAGTACAGAGAACCTATCACTTTAAAACTTTGCTTTCCTAGCTAGTTTAGGGCTCAAACGAGGTTCCTAGGCATCGTTCACTTCGCGGATTCGAGTTTTCAATTCGAGCTAAGATGTGACATTTTGTGAGAACTTTTCACTGTAGCAGAAAAAGTTATATGTGACATTTTCTAAGAGTTTTTTACTATATAAATCTAGAACTAAAAACTCAAATCGGTGAAATGAACGAGACCTATCTTTGAGACAATTCTATTATGTACATCGTACTGCAATGACAGAAGCATGTGACTATTTCTTCAACTTTTGCTCTTTCTTGTTTCAAAGTGATAAGAACTAAATAAGAAAGTGCAATAGCACTGCATGTATATTTAAATTCTCATGAGAAAAGTTTTTTTTTTTTTTTTTAATATTTCGGGTTTCAGGTGTAATGGATGTTATATGTTTTGATTAAAAAATAAAGTTTATACGGATCATAATTCAATATTTCTAGTTAATCCATATATTCATATGTACACACTAGCTAGAAGCCGATCTATAACTTTAGCACTAAAAAATTTTACTTTATTTGGATTAATGTAAGCTTCGAAAAGCGTCTAATAATGGTAAAATCTTTCTGTCTCGGTTGACATTTTGACCATTCAAACCCATTTTCATCATTTTGCTTCCATCCCTTTCTCAATAAATCCCCAAAGTGGTACAGAAAAAGCGCTAAATCATAACTTTAATAAGCAAACTATCGGTGCAACGCATAAACAAAAAAGCAGTACTTCTTCTCAAGCATATATATATATATATATATATATATATATATATGACAAACATATATGTAGATATATAATACATTATCATGATGTGTTTACAATAAACTTCAATTTTCACAACTCATCGTTTATCAATATGCTGAAGATCATCACAGTTCAACTAAAATATATTGCGGAAAAATGTAATCAATAATAACTAATGTATCATATTCATGCCTTACTTGCAGTAGTAGTAGAACTGAAGTATATTCAACCCGCAGCAGCAACAGGGAAAACATTTCAGTAATTTTTCTCTGAGACGATCCATATTTACGGCGAAATTGAAGATACAGCTATCTAATTTGAGACCATTAATTTAACCAGAAGTAGTACTACGATCCTTCTCCTGTCGGTTTTCGTAGGCACTACTTTGCGCGAGAAGCCTCGGATGGAGAATGGCAGGAAAGGATTTGATCAAAGGCGGATTATTATTATTATTATTATTATTGACACTAGTAGTATGAAGAGAAGCCATGAGAGAATTATTAAGGATATGAAACTGTTGTGATGAAGAAGAAGAAGAAGAAGCACTAGTACTACTAATTGTACTTGAATTAGCACTCATGAATTGGATATGGTTATTGATCATTTGTGGCCTAATTGTGTCATGAGGATTCTCATGATATTGAGTAGTACTACTCATGTATGAAGGATATGGAGTACTAGTAAAAAACGACGTCGTCGTCGTTGAATTCGATGGAGGAGGAGCACAGAAGAACAACTGGGACACGGATTGGATAGAACCCGAATTAAACGACGACGTCGTCGAAGAGTTTGTAGTACTCATGACAAGATTGTTGTGCCCGCTAATTCCATCAAAGTACTGGCCGGGCAGTGCAATTCCCTGGTCATAAAACGACGTCTGATCCGTGTAGTTTTGATAGTGGTTCATGTACGAGGAGGGCACGCCAAATAGCTTCTGAGCAAATTGATCCTGTTCGTTGGTTTTCACTTGATCATGATGAGGATCAAGCAGATGAAGATGTTGATGATGGTGATGATCGTGATTATTATGGTGATGAAGAAATTGGCCCAAGACTCCTTGAGGGATTTGGAGAGGAGGAAGTTTATCAATATCCAGTTTTGTGGCATCAATCAACCAATCTATGACCTTACTAGGTTGGCTTAGCCCTAGCCGGTCTTGAAGATCGTACAACTGTACTGCCGTGGGCACCGAAAGCCGAATTCTCCGGTCCCTCAGCCCCCTCACGGTGCACACCTTGCTGTGCCTGTCTTTACCTCCGAATGTGCGCGAGACTCGCACGATTCTCGGGTTTCGAAATCCCGCCGATGACCATTGCCTCGAGCTTGCCGATGGCGCCTTGTAGAGCTTCTTGTCTTCTGCAGGATCATCCCGTTTGGCTGCCGGGAAATCCTTTTCTTTTGGGCTTGTGATCATTGTATCTATATGGTGATGATCAGTACTAATTGTGATCTCTCGTCATGGTTGATGCTGGGTGAATAATTATTGTGGAAGAGAAGTAGCAATTCATCTTCTTTTGGGGATGCAAAACCGGATCGATATCTAATCAACTGAACAAAGGTAATAAGAGACTTAATTCAAGATTGTTTGCAAAATTATAAACACATGGATTATAGTCTAATTTATGCATAATTGATTTCTTCAAGATAGATTTAGGAAATCTTGAAGAGAAAAAAAATCATGAAACTGATGATGAGCTTATACTTACTAAATTCTTCCAGAATTAATTCTTGCGCGAATTTGCCGAATTGGGAAAGGAGCAAAACAGGAAAGTATGATCTTGTAGTGCGCAAACGAATTAAGAGCTGAATTACCTAAAAGGAACAGTTTTATGAATCAAAATTCAAGAGAGAAAAGATTGATAAACATAGTAAACTGCCTGAAAAAAAAAAAAAAAAAAAAAAAAAAAAAACTTGACTTGATCAGTACTAGTACTTTTGCAGCTCCGCAGGCAATTAGCCCTAGCGGAATCTATATAAATCCGATCGAGAAATATTTAGATCACAAAGATGAATGGACTTACATCAAACTCAAAATGATGATAATGATGGATTTAGGTTCTTGGTTTTGGTCTTGCTTCCACCAAAGCCGAAAAAAGAGAATTAGGAGCAAAAGGATAAGCTACAGTGCTATGACAGTCGCCTTTGTGATGCTAGACCTAACTAATCAGCTATGGCTGTGCAAAATTATTTTTCAGCTTTAAATTCAACTGCTTAACGGAGAATAAAGATAACCTTTAATGAGTCACAATTTTGGTAAAGAGAAACGGTGCCCGAATAATTTTTTAACCGCAGCATGTTGCAATAGAATGGAAAAAGGAAAATGTAAGGCACATTTAATGCCATGTGGCATCCTATCGCTTTCAAGGACGAGCTTGCTAGCTAGCTAGTTTGTTTTTGTTTTGTTTTTTTTTTTTAAAAACAACTCTTAATCATCAATTAAGGAGACTTCAGAGAGCGAAAAACTAGCCCTTTATTTTATTTTTGAATTTTGTTTTCTGGAGGCAACGATCAGAAACTCGGTAATAATAAGTTTTATCGTGGTCACAAAAATACAATTAATCAATAGACGCAGATAATTAAATTCCATGGGTACCATAAATTCATGTATGTGTATGTACAAATTAATATTATAGAGAGAAAAGAAAATAAGGAAAAACAAACAAAAACAAAAGAATGCGGTTACCCTTTATCAGCAACTAGAGCTACCTTTATTGTTGTATAAAAAAAAAAGAAGCATGAATTGAAGATCGCATGCCGACCTAGCCAAAAGAATTGAGAAAAATAATATAAACCCTAGTGTTTGAATTTTATTTATTTATTTATTTGTAATTTTCTTAGTTCCGATGATCTCACCAAGATTTCAGATAATTATGTAAAGTTGAGGTTAGTTCGATTGGTGTTTAATCCACGTATAAGTTGTTTTTAATGTATTGAGTTTTGAGTTTAACTTCCAGAATTAAGATGGTAAATAGAGTGAGAAAGGAGAGGATAAAATTAGGGTTTGCGGCTATATATATATATATATATATATATATATATATATTGCAAAAGGAATTGAGTTGGGGTTTAATTTGGTGCAATTAATTCAATTAGATAAGTCGTACTCATATGCCGGTTCCAAAAGTTGTGGTGTATGCGACCTGCTGAAGGTCGATAAGTTGGATATATGTATATATACATACTCACACATATATATATATATACATATATATGTTATATATATGAGACAAATGGATAGCTAGTATAGCTATACATCAAATGTAATATATATATATATATATATATATATAATATATGAGATAAATGTATAGCTATAGCTATACATCAAATGTAGAGGAGGGACCAATTCATATAGGTTCTTTAAAGCATCCACTGAATATATACAGAGAGGGACCACACACAGATAGCAGTGAGATTTGCACAGCACAACTTGGAGTAGTAGCAGCAGCAGCAGCTAATATGTAATGACTTGCGTATATGTTTGATGTATATATGTGTTATATCTATCAAATATGTATGTTGTCAAATTATGAAAAAAATATTATATATATGTATATTTGATGTTTCTTTTTGAAGAAAACAAATACTGCGTGCATATATGTGTGTGTGTGATCAAGCTATCGTAATTTATCCTTTCTCCTCGTACATAAGCAAAGTGTTTTTCTTCTTTTTTTTTTAAACAAAAAAATAATAAGTTTCTATAATCTCCCTAGCTAAGGCTAAATAATGATTTTCTTTGTTTAAATTAAGAGGGATTCGGCATATAATTTATCAGAAAATCAACTGTTAATGGTATCTGTCAAAAGAAATAGGGTTAATGATCATAGAAACCCTAATATAAATCAATGGTTTATGATTTATATATGAAGAAACTAATTTATGTTTACAGTTCTACAACTAGTTCGAGGTTATAACACTAGCGTATAATTTTTTGTTTTGTTTTGATTTTTTTTTTCAGTAAACATGTGCTGAAAACAAATGACAGTAGTACTAGAGAAACCCCAGCTTTTTCGTCCTCATAATATAAAGGAACATTGAAATTCTGGATAATGCTTTGTTACCAACAACTTTAAACTTAAAAAAAAAAAAGAGGGAGAGAGAGAGAGAGAGAGAGTTCTAATAAATCCCTAGCTTTCTTGTCTCATCTCCTGAAAATACAAACCCAACAACATTATTTTTATAAAAAAGGAGTAAATATATATATGTATATATAATTATAAGAATTAAATCCTACATGGAAATTGCGATCTGTCTGTGTCATTGTATATATGTCTGTCTATGTCTCAGAGAGAGAGAGATTTTCTTTCTTTCGGGGAGCTCAACAGTCTAGAAAATAGGAATCTGCTGCGACACAAAATAATTGAGACAGGTTCAATTAATAGACTGTAGTAGCAGCAGTTCGGCACCAGTCAAAAAAGACTTCTATAATTAATTTTAAATTGTAATTACAAACATAATTTCTTCTAAAACACTAAATCTTAACAGTTCTCTCATCTACCATCTTGAAGGACAACTTAATCATATTGGTATAAAAGTTTTGTATGTATCTAAATGTATAAGTACAAGCAAAGTTTCCATTACTTTCCTATCAAAAAAGAAAAGTTACCGTTTCTCTGTGTTAATATAAATTTGGGTTATCTACATTAAAGGTCCTTGAAGAATGAGAATATGCACTTGTATCCTCAACATTTACGTATTTTTAAATCCCGGCTATCTCGAGATTTATGGAATGTACAATTTTGACACAGTTAATAAATTGTCTATTTTTGGACAAAATATAGTGTATGGCACTGAAGGTTTTAAACAAATATCAAATGGTTAAAAAATAATTTCAGAGCAAAAAAAAAAAGTTAAAAATAAACTGATGTAAAAAAAAAAATCTAGAAACATTGAAAATCAAAATTTGAACTGGAGAACAGAGGGATACAGTTTAAACTTTAAAGTAGTTAGACCTTTAAAAATAAATATCGAAGGTCAAAATAAGATCAATACATATCCTCAAGGACCATAGCATAAATAACCCTAATTTTAAACAATATTAACCCCATATTAATTGTGTGTGCTTGATGGAACTAAACTTACCTATTACTACTATATACACCTTTCATCCACAAAAAAAAAAAAAAAAAAAAAAAAAAACCTCAAAATCACCATCCATCTTTTCATAATTGTGTTAATTATTCTAGATTACCCTGTACGAAAGGGCTCGCCACCAAGAAAGTATAAAAGAAGGTTATTGAAGTAAAATCCCCATTAGTTGATACTTTTACCAATTTTAGGCAATGAGAGATCTCAATAAAACAATATATATTTCATTAGCTTTTTGCCAAGTTTTGTAAAGCTCATAGTTTTCTGGAGGAAGTGAAAAAAAAAAAAAAAAAAGTGGTGAGTTTCACGAGGAGTTTTAATTGAAATTTTTTTTGTCAAAAAAAGAAGTGGTGAAGTACTTCCAACTGGAGATATAGAAGCGAAATTATATATTTGTAGCAGTCAGATATCAATGAGAGGGAAATTTTTGTACAGTGTTTTACCTCTGGGTGAAATTGAAAACATTAATTAGCTAGGAAAATGTATCACCACGTATGTAGGTTTTGAATTCACGTGCCAAAGAAAACAAGTACTGCAACCTCATTTACTTATCGAATTATAACGACTGTACTTTCGGTAAAACAAAAGGTCTTTTAACGACGATATAGATTTCTCATCATTAAAAGTCTTAATCTCGTGCTATATACTTTCATTTGACTACTTTATTGTCGACTTTGAGTCCAAAAATCGCCTTTATATTAATAAGAATTGTATATAACCTAATCATGGCAAAGTATAATTTGTATAACTCTAATTTTCTCCAATGGTTCAATTCAAGTTGATGTGGTGCGTATTTTATCTTTAAAAAAAATTATTAGCCCTTGCACTTGAACTCGTGACTCAATACATTGAAAACAACTCACACATCCATATTAAGCAACTTGAATACATAAGTTTGTGTTACATAACTGTGGGTCGGTGACGTGGATGTTCGATTATGAATTAAACATTTAATAATTAAAACTAACAGTGAAATATTAAAAAAACTCCAAACGAGCCCCACTATTTTACCGAAAATAGATTACAAGAACATCTCAAGATGCTAAAACTCCAGTCTCTAACACTGTTCAGGGTACACCCACAGGATCTATCCACAAGATCTTCAGTATTGTACATACATGACACGTGTAAATAACATTACAGACATCAACCACAATCTAGAAGTCCAAATATCAGAGTTTACAGAATTTACAAATTCTTACATTCGTATACCGGGAGGATGATCACAATCCTCTCCAAATCATGTGGTAGCAACTCAGCTACTCCGCACTGCTTCTAGAATCGCCTGGGAGGGGTTTAACATTTATAAAATAATAAAACGTGAGTGAAAGGCCCAGAAAGATATATTTTGAAATAACTTTATAAATAAGTAAATAAGTAAATAAATAAATGAGTAAATGAATAAATATATACATTCAGTTCCAACACTCCAGTCGGAACCTCACATCCTTTTTCTCAAAGGAAATATAACTGAAAATTTCCGTATTACAAGCATCAACAAGTAATTTATACTATGATAAATTACTTACACAACCAAATGCACAAGCCATAACACCCCGGGCCGGGTTTCGGGTCCTACCCCCAAGGATGCACTCTCCACATTGTATCTAGGACATCAGCCGATTTACTGATTTGTAAGATCTCTTATCTTAAGAAATCATTCATTAAACTTTATAAAACAGTGCATTATACTTCCCATAATCTACAACAAGCCATGGGGGTAAAAATGTTTTTCTTTCGCAAACATGCCCTTTCTTTAAAACATTGGCAAGGCCAAAATCCTTTTGAAAACATGCTCACAAAGGAAAGGGTAAGAAATCCTACCTCACAAGCACCAAACCTGCCTAGCGTTACACTATTCCAGCTTTCGCTTCCTCAAAGCTTCTCAATCCGAGTCCTCAGCTAGCACTGATACAAAACCATACTTTAGGATCTGATTATCATTCCTAAGGCAATTCAATACCAATTATACACTTCAATTTCCTATTAGTGTGCCATAATTCAATTACTGGTTTCACAAACCATTTCATGTTTCAAATCATCATTCTAAGGATTTTCAATCTCAAA